AAGAAAGAAAGAAAGAAAGAAAGAAAGAAAGAAAGAAAGAAAGAAAGAAAGAAAGAAAGAAAGAAAGAAAGAAAGCAGTATGTCTCTAGGGCTGACCTCTTCTCCACATTTAAACTTTTTCAAGAAATACTCCTTCAACATCGGCTCCCTGCCACTGTACACACACCACCATGGTAAAACTCCACTTGTTATGCTTTCTTTCTTGGCCATGCTTCATTTTCCTTCTAAATCATTTATGTAACGATGGAAATGAACAAGGAAGAAGAAGTTTTCAGGAAATTCCTACTTCCTCTTGTGAACAAATCCTACCTGTGGAATTTTGTAATGATCTAAGATGTCTGCAATGTACGAAGAGATTTCGGAATCAAATCCCCCAATGACTCCTATTAGATGGTGCTTGTTGCCACATTTGTAATTAGGAATGAATGTCTTTGATTGGCAAAGGACATCTAGAGTGACTCGGTAGGACATCCTTGCATTAGTGTAACTGTCATAGATTTGGAAGCCGAGAGTGACATTGGAGAGGATTCTGGGATTCTTGTTGATCTCTTTAATAGCAAACACCAAGGCCAGGATATGCTGGTAAAACTTGGTCATCACTCTGTGAAAATATAGCAAGTTATGTATCGTGATTAACAACAAGGCTTTGATGGATACCTGAGGATGAGGGCCTTGCTCCATGAAAACTAGTGGATTGTAAGATTTTTTTTAGTTGTCTGATAAAGTTACCGCCTGTCCAGCATGGTAAAAACAAGTGACTGGCCATTTTCCAGCATATTTCTTTTCCATGCAATGGAATTACAAATAAATTGCCTTAAAGCCGTGCACATTTCAAGAGAAACATCCTTTCATTTTCTTTTATTTACTATTTTGTCTGTGGCATCCAAATATCTGGAATATAATATATGAAACCCTTGAGGAGATTCTTGTTTCTGCATGTGTCATGAAAATCGTTATTTTTCAAATTCTATCAAGGTACAATAAACTATCCTTTGCTCTTAATTTACCTGAATTAATATTAATTGGTCTGAGTGACTAAACGGTTTTGCCACAAAGACAGGCTTTTCACGTTCTCCTCAATAATAAAATACACACCCGTTTTGTCTCCTTAAGGATCAAGGCAGTTTCCCAACACATAAGCCTATGAATCTCTAAAATAGCATCAGTATACATTGATTGAAATAAAAGATCATTCTGATAAAGACAGCTTAAAAGATTTTTGAGAAAGAGGTGGGTTGAGTGCAATCATCATCATCATCATCATCATCATCGTAGGACTGCAGAGCTGGAAGGGATGCTATGGGTCATCAAGTCTACCCCTGTTAAGGAGGCACAGTGGGGAATTGAACTCCCACCAGCCAGGTGCCTAAATCATGGAGGAATCCAATGTGGGAAACAATGTCATGGATATCCCATTCATTCACTGACCTGGTGTGTGTTCCGCCCCTCATTCAGCACACACACACACACACAGAGAGAGAGAGAGAGAGAGAGAGAGAGAGCATCAGCGCTATTTGCCACCCTCCAAGCCTAACCATCTCACCATCTCTAAAATAACACACAAACATTCATGACATGGTTATGGGGAAAAATTCCTTACCCTGGCAATTCAATTGATTCCTGAGAAGGATGCTTATTGAACAGAACATTGGAAACAAAACTACGGGTATGAGACACAATCCCACCAATGACGAGTTCCTTTGGCTGGCGCCACTCATGTGGAATAGAATGTGCCTTTGATGATACACAGCTTGCAGGCGCTCCATGTACATACACAACGTGTGTCACCTGAAAGATCAGGAAGAACAACAGAAGCAGCAGCAGCAACATTTCATGCTGTAACCTGTTGGTGCTAAAATTTCTCTAGGAGAGTGAATATTTCTAGGTTTCCATCCACAGCATCAGTATTTGTGTAAGCCTGGTCTGAACAGAGTGAAATTCAATATTCTCTCCCATCCATTCCTGTCCGTCATATGGCCGGATTGTAAACAATCCAACTGAGAGGAATCTCCTTGCCTCTTAGTTGTCAAAGGCAGCCTGGTTTTTAGACGTGGATTTTAGACGTGTTGATTTCCTGGGGAAGACGCTGGAGTATTATGGTTAATTCATTATAATTATTTTGATAATCATAAGGGACGGTATAATTCCTGCCACCTTTAGGTCTTCCTTTCACTATCAGCAGAAGCAACCTTTGGGTGAAAAACTTGTTTATTAGATTCCTTCTTTTCTGGTGATCCAGGAACAACAAGCAAAAGGTCACCTCAAGGGACTCTTAAGAAGCAGGAAAATTAGAATACCTAGAATAGAAGGACTAATGTCGAACCTTTTGCAACTACGCAACCAGAACAATGGCAGAGTAAAGCATGCCATGGCCAATACCTTAAAATTATGCAGGGGTCAGGCTAATCTCATGGGACGTGGTGGCGCTGTGGGCTAAACCGCAGAAGCCTGTGCTGCAGGGTCAGAAGACCAAGCAGTCGTAAGATCAAATCCACGCGACGGAGTGAGCGCCCGTCGCTTGTCCCAGCTCCCGCCAACCTAGCGGTTCGAAAGCATTCAAATGCGAGTAGATTAATAGGGACCACCTCGGTGGGAAGGTAACAGTGTTCCGTGTCTAAGTCGCACTGGCCATGTGACCACGGAAGATTGTCTTCGGACAAAACGCTGGCTCTATGGCTTGGAAACGGGAATGAGCACCGCCCCCTTGAGTCGAACATGACTGGACGAAAATTGTCAAGGGGAACCTTTACCTTTACCTTTACAGGCTAATCTGCTTTAATTAGGTCCAGATCTGTCTGGATTTCTCATGTAGAGGTCTAAAACACGAAGGAAAGTCAGATAATGCCTGAAAATCAGTAGAAAGCTGCAACTAGAAGCGCATGATGAGATAACTCACCAATTCCCCACTGATTCAATGGGCCTTCTCTGGTTATGAGTTTCTACTAGATTTCAGCCATTTTATCCCCAAGTATTCAGAAAAAGTGCCGTATAAGGAAAAGACTAAAATTGGGAAAGAGGAAGAGGAGAAAGAAAACAATTCTTGGATAACTAGAGCTTTAGTAGCCCTCCTCACCATAGTGGAAAAGAAAAATCTACTTTTTTGCTCTTAGTTGTCTTTCAGCAGGAGAAAAGGTTTTGAAAAAAGTTTCTTGGAGATGGGTAAAAGTTTAAGTCTACTGTAGCTTGTGCGTCTCTTTCCTTCAGTCTCCATTTCCCAATCCTCTTTACAACACAGCCTTTTAATATTTTATTACCTTTTATGTGTTGCTGTTTTTTAAGTCAACATTCATGCTGACCTCAGTGTTATTTTAGTTACAGGTTTATTAGTTATTCCTGCTCTCTTCTTCAAGTTCTTCATTTTGGCCCTAATTTTGAGGCTAGGTTTAATTTTTTTAAAAAAATGTGTATGGAATACACAGCACATTACATTGTAGTCAAATTTGAAGAGAAGTAGCAGAAAGATAACTCAACATAAGGATTAGTCCCTTCGGAATGAGCTACTCCTCCAATTTCATGCTTGCATTCAATTCATAAAAACACATACATTTGTTTTATGAATGTGGGTATTGTGCTTCTGTATTGCTGCACAATATAATACCCGCGTTGCCAGCAGGAAAAGGGGTGCTAACCTTTACAAAGCAAAGGGCAGTCCGGATGCTGACAAGACAAATGGCAGCAGTCAAGATGGTCTACAGGATACCCTATTGTGCTTGTTACCACTCACAAAGAAACACAAAGCAAGGGAACATTTCAAAAGTTGAATCCTCATTCCATCAGTTAACAACTTCTCACGTGAACACAATGCAATTGTCAAGGTCGCTCTTCAACAGGTGTAAAATAGACTTTATCATAAGTTAGGGCCATGATCTCTGCCCATTTCCATATGAAATATAGAAGAAACTGGACAATATGGAAGGAAGTGGGGCTTGTCACTCATTTTAGTCAATCTGTTATGTTGGTTGAGTCACTAAAAACATTTTGAGCAGACCAAGTTGGGAAAGACCAAGCTTTGGTTAAAAACACTAAATATTTATTGTATCATTTTGCCAGAGCAAGAACACCCACATTTGATTTAATTGTTAGTTTTGATGAAATTGTGAAGCAACAGAATCAAGGCTATAGAATTTTTCCACTCCATAATTTTTTTTGAGGAAAAAAATAGGCTGAACGAAGGAAAATAAGAGGAGAAGAGAAGTATTTTTAATATCCAGTGTGATAAATAAGAAATTATAAAATCCAGAGGAAATTGTGGTACGCTAAGAGAGTCAAGACCCTAAGGTCAGTTTCCCTTATAATTTCCAATTTCTGCTTCACAGATCCTTTAGAGCAGTGGTCCTCAACCTTGGGCCTCCAGATGTTCTTGGACTTCGAGTCCCAGAAATCCTGGCCAGCAGAGGTGGTGGTGAAGGCTTCTGGGAGTTGTAATCCAAGAACAGCTGGAGGCCCAAGGTTGGGGACCACTGCTTTAGAGAACTACTCCAGAAAATGATATCGTTTTTCAGTCTTCAATAAATGAAATAATATTCCTAAAAAGGAATGATCTCATGGACTAAACCAGGACAAATGATGTTTGGAAAGGAAAGCTGTTTTTAAGTCTACATTCTTATATCCCCCTGCAGGTTAAAACCACTGTTTTGTAACATCACAACAGAGATTTCAAGTACTTCTTTCCTTATCATGCCGTACTAGTTGTTCTTTGTTGTTCAATTCAGGCCTCAAGACAATTATATACATCTTGGGGAAGAAGATGAAACAGAGTAATCCAGTGCTGGAGGCCAAGATCGAGAAGATCTCCACAGCCACCATGTATTTCCCTTTGGTGCTCAGGTAGGTTGGTACAAAAGACACCCACACACTGCAAAAGACCAACATGCTGAAGGTGATAAACTTGGCTTCATTAAATGTGTCTGGCAGTTTCCGAGCAAAGAAAGCAACAATGAAACTCAGGAGAGCCAGAAACGCCATGTAGCCGAGAACATAATAAAACATATTGGCCTTTCCTTCGTTACATTTCACTAGGATTTCTTTCGGCAAAGAGTGCTTGTCCAGCTGTGGGAATGGAGCATCAATATATAGCCATATTACACAAATACTTGCTTGGATAAATGTGCAGCAGAAAACAATAGAATATGCCAGTCTTTTCCCCACCCATTTTCTTATCTGTGTTCCTGGCTTAGTGGCCATGAAAGCTAGAATTACAAGGATAGTTTTTGCTAGGACAGAAGAAATGGCTACTGAGAAGATGATTCCAAAAGCAGTTTGCCTTAAATAGCAGGAAAGCATATTGGGTTGGCCGATGAAAAGGAAGGAACAGAGGAAGCAGAGTAAGAGGGAGATGAGCAAAGTGTAGGTGAGGGTCTGGTTGTTGGCTTTGACGATGGGCGTGTTCCGATGCTTGATAAAGACTCCGAGCACCAAAGCTGTCATTGCAGAAAGCCCAAAAGCCAGAAGAGCCACACTCATGCCCAAAGGTTCACCATAAGACAAGAAGTTTAGATATTTTTGGAGGCAATGTGTTTTCTCCTTGTTTGGATAATTACCTTCTGGGCATTCGAAACAGTCGTTCATATCTTGAGGCAAGAAAAAAGGAAGAAAGGAGTTACTTACGATTTTTATGCCTGTAAATCATTTGGTTTATGAACAGTCAGTCAGTGCCTTTATTGGCATACACAAAAAACCCACGTATACAAGATAATGAACAAACTTAATTAAAACTGAATCTACAAATCTGTTATGTCTCAGTTTGAGGCTCCTCATTAGCTGGTTCAAAAAGGCTAGCGTATTCTCTACTATAATTGACTTTCTCTCTCTTTCTGTGGGGCCTTATGGTCCATGTTTGTCAATGGGATTCTGGCATTAGGTATGTAATATTTTGGATTTGGCTCTATCTTTCCAGGTGATGATCCAGATATTTGAACATCACCATGCCATTATGAAATTTAATTCATAATATGCACAGCTTCAGATACAATTTGTAGTGCATGGCAGAACTTCAAATACTTCAAATACTAATATTTTTAAGGTAATGAGATAAGAAAATGAGGAAGGAAACTCTTATTACCTTGTTTACAGCTTATTAGTCAGCCTCTTTGCAACAGTGCTCTCTGCAGGGCTATAAACAGAACTGCAAATAAGCTGCAAACAAGGCTTTCCCTCAGTCCTACCTATGTGGCCAGTTAATGTGAAGAGACTCAGTGTAACTTCACAGTGAATGTGAACAAAATAGCATTTCCCTTGCTGTGCAGTTGCACCCTACACAAGGCAAATCAACACTTTTTTTTGCACTATTTGCTCCAAACACACAACATGCCTTTCCAAATAACTGGACAAAAGGGGATAGATGTGTAAATTTTCACCACCTCTTATTTTTAATTTAATGTAATTTACTTGTATTAATTTTAATTACATCAGTTTTAAAACTGGAATAATTTTACTTCATGAAGAAGAATTCTGATGACAGTAACATTATAAGAGCAGTTTCTGATGAAGAAATAGGGCAACCCAAATTAGCCCTCACTTGTATCAAATTATGGACATTTAATAGTAAAGCATTCAAAGCCCCACATTTTCATAAATGAATGTCTCTATTTTGGTTTCGTTCAAAGTGGATTTTTTTTAAACATCTGAAGGTTTTTCTATCCTGAATATGAAGCAGTGTGTTCATTTTGGTTATATATACATGAAACAAAATTCTTATCATAGCCTGCAGTGAAATTGTCTGCACAGGATTGTATTTATTTGCTGATTTGGGATGTGTATTTAGGACATGGTGGCGCTGCGGGTTAAACCGCAGAAGCCTCTGTGCTGCAAGGTCAGAAGACCAGCAGTCATAAGATCAAATCCATGCAACAGAGTGAGCTCCCGTTGCTTGTCCCAGCTCCTGCCAACCTAGCAGTTTGAAAACATGTAAAAATGTGAGTAGATAAATGGTTACCACCTTGGTGGGAAGGTCATGGTGTTCCGTGTCTAGTCGCACTGGCCATGTGACCACAGAAACGGTCTACGGACAAACGCTGGCTCTACGGCTTGGAGACGGGGATGAGCACCACGCCCTAGAGTCGGACACGACTGGAGTAAATGTCAAGGGGAACCTTTACCTTTACCTTTACACCTGTATTACCCACTCCCTCCATAGTACTCCAGAATGTCAAGAGGTTCTCCCATTATATGAGATAACTGTACATGTGAACTTTTGTATACAATAGTATTTGGTAGAGCTGTGGCTGGCTGGATAAGCAATGTGTTCGAGTACCTTTTTGTAATTTTTCCATAAAATATTCCATTCTCTCTCACACAGTAGAACACTCCTATTGGGTGATTTTTGGGGTGTCCTCTTTTAAAACCAGTGTGTACGTATTCTTTATAATAAAATCTCCCCTACCTGTCTCATTTGTCATCTTTCCTTCCGGGCATGGAACACAATCATAGCAACAAAATGGTTCCTCTTCTTTCTTTTGCTTACTAGTACCTGGATCACAGGGGTCATTACACAAAGCAGAGGGCATAACCTATCCAGGAAAGAGGAAATAAAAGCATTTCTTTCCTTGTCTGTTTCCTTGTCTGATACGATAGCACTTTTCAAATATTTGAAAGGCTGGCATACAGAGGAGGGGCAGGATCTGTTCTCAATCATCCCAGAGTGCAGGACACACAACAATGGGCTCAAGTGACAGGAAGGCAGATTTTTGGTTGAATATCAGGAAAAACTTCCTAACTGTTAGAGCAGTACGACAGGGGAACCGGTGACCTCGAGATTTGGTGAGTGTTTTAGCACTGGAGGCATTCAAGAAAAACTTAGATCATCACCTGGCAGATATGCTTTGATTGTATTCCTGCATTGAGCAGGGGGTTGGACTTGATGGCCTTGTAGACCCCTTCCAACTTCACTTTTCTATGTTTCTATGATTCTACTACAGTGGTGCCTCACTTAACGAGCGCACTGTATAACGAGGAAATCGCATAGAGATCTCTTTTTTGAGATCGCTAATGCGATCGCTTACCGATGGCCTCTTTGGCCAAAACTCGCATGGCCAAGATTGGTAAGCGTTTGCGACGCCGGGAAATCAGCTGTTCAGCGGCTCCAAAATGGCCACCGGATGACCCAAAATGGCCGCCACAACCATTTTCGTGCCCTGCCCTCGCTTACCGAGGGCATGAAAATGGTGGCGCTATGAGGAAACTTTGCTTAACGGTAAGTAAAGAAGCCTTTGGAACGCATTAAACTAAGTTTAATACGTTCCAATGGCATTTTGCGTCCTGTTTAGCGATGTTTCCCCATAGCGAGGGTTAATCCGGAACGGATTAACCTCTCTATGCGGGGCACCACTGTATTTTTGTAGTCAGCAAGCTGTTGCATTTCAGTAACACAACACGAAGCCCATGGGTGGTTCTAGCATATTGATTTTGTATTCTGGTTATAGCAAACCATGCACTTACCAATTTGAAAAAAGGGACCTCCTAAATTGTTTTGAATATCTTTCTTAACTGTCACATATAAGCAGCAGTGATTTATCCAGATGCTTAATCTAGTTGAGCTCTGACTGGTGAAGTATATGGAGACTAAGACCACACAAGATGGCATTCACTGCCCTAGCTCTATTGTTTTTCAATAGCGTAATATCTAACCTTCATAACTGCATGCCAGAGATTGCATGGCATATATTGTCTACTTTTGTTAATAAGATTCTGGCCTAATGCTTGTGTTGGCAAAAAGTGTTTTTGACAAAGCTATTGCTTGAGACGTGGTTATAACTGAACTGGGTAATGGGAACTGATGCTTTGGTAAAATAAAGCAGTAGATATAATGATTCAGTAGATATAATGGGATACTGTTGGTGGCCTCAGAAACTTTCAATCTAGAGGTGGGGGCTTTTATTGTGGAATTTAGCTAGCTCCATCTTATTTTCCTTCAGTCAATTATTTCAGCAACTTAACAGACACAGGATCCAGAGTGCGATAATTAGAGAGATCTCTCTCCTTCCCCACAATCATCATGAAAATAAGTTGAAGTGGATGAAAATGCCAAAGGCCCACTTCTGTTTAGCCAGAAGTAATTGGGTGAGGGATTTTGGAGATCAGTAGAACACCAAGAAATTGGGTGATGAATAATGGCAGACAGTGAATAACTGTGTGTCCAGCTTAGTTCTAAATGCAATGCTAATGTTTGTGTTAGTAAGAAAAAGATATCATTTTAGCCTTCCTTCAATATCTGGTAATTACCAAAATCCTGTTGTTTAATGTAGTATATCACACTAGAGCAGGCCTATTGATTCAATAGTGAATCAATTCCTCTGTAAGTCTTATTGATTCAAATAGGCTTACTCTAACTGTGGCTCAGCTAGGGCAGGGCTATTTCAGTCAATGGAACTTATGAAAGAATTGACTGAAAACAATCCCCATTGATTCAATGGGCCTACTCTAGTACAACCTACTACTCTAAGCCACTGGTTCTTAACCTTGGGTTACTCAGGAGTTTTGGACTGCAACTCCCAGAAGCCTTCACCACCAACTGTGCTGGCTGGGGTTTCTGGGAGTTGCAGTTCAAAAACATCTGAGTAACAAAGGTTAAGAACCACTGCTCTAAGCAATACAATTTCAGCCAGAATATGATAATTATATTAGCTACATCTGAGATAATTATCTAAGCTTTCTTCTATGTAGCAAATGTTGAAGTGCCGACTCTTTTCACCTCAGCCCATTTCGCCAAGCGTTTCTCTGGATCTCCTGTCCTTATTCCTTTGTTAAATAATGAAATCTTGCAATTCAAACCAGTAACTCAGAAATATGTACTCTATTAAAACTGCCAGTAAGGTGTTAAACATGGGAACCATAACAATCAGTGAATTGATCCGGGAGGACATAAGATAGCACAAGGACCACCACCTTTGACCCTGGTAGAACCAGTGGCGTTACTGTCCCCCACCAATTACTTCATCAGCTCCAGGCTGCTGGCAACAGGATTCTTTATATTGCCACAGGTCTCTGACAACAGTTTCTTGACTGACCCAACACTTCCCCATACCCCAGGGAGCTGAGTTTTTAACCCTGGTCCCCTGGAAGCAGCCAGTTCAGTAGTGGCCTCATCACTGAGGCCACTAGAGTCCTAGTGCTGGGTGGCAGTGGGAAGAAGCCCAGCCTGAGACCAGACCTGGGACCCTTTAAGGAAGCCTGGTAGAGGTTGGTGGTGGTGAGCAGTGGCTGCTCCCTTGCTCCTCAAAAAGCCTTCTCCTCCTCTCATGTTGGCATTTATACCATCAGCACCTCAATTGGATTGAGGTGGGCACCACAGGACCCTGTGGGCATCTCAGGCACCAAGGGATTGATGGAACAAGAGCCTTCTCTGAGGCTGTTGTGATAGTGGTTCCTCTTCCTTGCCCTCAGCCCCTCACTGCAGGAAAGCTTCTCATCAACTCCTGCCATATATTGTCCTACCTCACCTACTGTACAGAACACGGGTTCTGCTTCCTCTGCTGTTGAGTCCCAGCTTTCCTCCTCCTCCGTTGACCCTTTGTCAAGTGCCAATGGCCCAGATGACCTTGAAACCACTCCCCAAGCATTCCTTTCACCTTGCCAATGGCTCCTTGGAGACACCCGGGCTTCCCTCCTCTCAGTCTCCTAGCTGTTCTACATAGGCTGTCAGGGAATTTTGTGCAGCAAGGGCAGATGACCTTGGTAGTGACAACACCTTCACAGAGAGTATTGAAATACCGGGCATAGTCTAGAAGTGAAAGTTGGTTCTTACGTGGTTAAATCCTTGAGGCCACTCAATGGTCTTCTCATTAATGGAGAACTGTTTGCCTTGTGGAGCTTGAGGATCCATGCTCCCAACTTTTACTCTTGAGAAAGATTTATTTGGAAAGATTACCCAGTTGATAATATCAAAGCCAGCTTGTAATTCGCCATTCTCATTGAAAAGCACCTGGTCCCCAGCAGTGTTGTTGAACGTTATGGTCTTCAGGAAAGCGAGAAGCTGCAATGGGAGACAGTCAAAGTAGGGTCGCACTAAAATGAAGGACTATATCTAAGGCAATGGCATGCATCTGAGATGACCCTTCTACTAATGCCACCATGGTTTTTATTTTTAAATGACTCTTTAGCTTAGAGGTTGGGACACTGTTTAGACTGGAGGTGGGGGAGCAAATATAAATGTTATCAATGCGCCCTGTTACAATGACTTTCAAGCATACAGTGGTGCCCCGCATAGCGACGATAATCCGTTCCGGAAAAAACGTTGCTATCCGTATTCGTCGCTATGCGGAAACGAAAACATTAAACCCCATTTAATGCATTCCTATGGGCTTAAAACCACCGTTATGCAAAAATCCTCCATACGGCCACCATTTTCGCTGCCCGGTATGTGAGGAATGGGAGCGAAAACACTGCAGGTGCCCATTTTTCCCCCCCGGTGGCCATTTTGGAACCACCAATCAGCTCTTTTTAAAACATTGCTATGTGAAAATCGATAAGCAAAACAGCTTACCGATCATCATAAAGCAATTTTTTGCCATTAAAAAGATCGCAATGCAATCGCTTTTGCGATCGCAAAAAACATATCGCTATGCGGGTTCTTCGTTAAACGGGGTGCTTGTTAAGCGAGGCACCACTGTACATAGTCTAGAAATCAGAGCTTGTATTTGATGCAAAACCTCTCTAGTCTGCCTTTTCCATGTAAGAGTTCCTTTTCCACGTAAAACATCCCTGGTCTGGAAACCGGAGCATTCGCTCCAGGCCAGTTTGCAAAGTTGAGTTCGTCTTTCATGCAAACACGTCCTGGTCTGCAAACCTAAGATCACTGGAAATCTTTCCTAGGTTTAAAGACAAAACAAAGCAAAACCCTATTGTTTCCTGATTTCCAGCCACTGACTGGACGTATGCTGAAAGTCTGTAGTCTGAATCAGGAAACTCTGAGGATCATATTAGGGTCATGGGGGAAGTCCCCCTTTCTGTTCAAGCTCTTTTGCCCATTCTTCCAAAACTATGTGGAAAGAGAAGAAAGAGTGAATAACTCTCCCCCAATAAACATTTAGAACTTTTCTTCCACATGAGCAGTTCCTTCTTTCCTTCTGAAACTTTTCAGGTCTATTGGATAAAGCCACTCACAAGGAGGCCATCACTTGCAAATCATTTGGTCACAAGCCGCAATGGTGGTAACCATATCCTAATCTGGAAAGCATCTAAACAGAAAGGCTGTTATTGCACAAACTATTGTGTTTTGTGGGAAACCTGGAAGGCTTGATAATGTACGATTGCGGTATACATGGGGAAACCGTTCCAAGCTTTCCAGATGGACACTGCAAAATGTGGAAATAGTGAATGTTGTACATAGCATGGTCTTTAGCTCTCTATAGTGGCCAGTTCTAATAAATACACCATGGGTCTTTAATATTTTCAGGCAGTGGATAAGTGAATTCATAGATACTGATTCTGAAGATGGGGGGGGAATCCTACTGTATTCTTAAAAATACCCCTCTATACTTAAAAGTTCAGCCCAAATTTGCCAACAAATAAATGGTTATTGAATTAATTATTTTTTAAAAAATCAAAATTTAAAAGCACAAATCTCCTCCCCCATACATGAAGTGACTTTACCTGAAAAGGTTGTAGTTGAGCACTCAGAAATTGCCCATGGACTGTTGCTCTGTGTTTGGTTCTGGCTGAATTCATGGCATGGAAAGCATGTGCCACAGCACAAACAGCATTGTAGATGCTGTAGCTTTGGCTGGTCATCTGCATTTCAAAGAAAGTCCCTGGAAGGCTCTCCAGATTTTCTTCCCCAGTGCAAATATCATCAGCGTTTTCATCAACCATCTTGGCGTCTCTGGATGAACAGTCAAAGGCTTGCTCCCAGAAGATCCTGATGAAACCATCAACTTCAGAGTAAGGATTCAGATCCCGAAGGAAATTTTGGAACCCCTCCACTGCTTTGGACTGAACTGAAAAGGACAAGGCACCATGGAAGATGCGTGTGTCCAGATATCTATGAAATGTTTCGGAGGAGAAGTCCCAGTGGGCTGTCATAACCCACACCTTGTTTAAAGCTGCTACGCCAAACATTTCAGCTGCAAGCAACAACCACTGCACATCCAGCATTGTGTGAGTATCTGCATTCACAAGGAAGACATCAACATTTACCGTGCTAAGCATCATACTGATATTACGGAAGTTTTCTATCATTCCCCAAAAATCAAGTAAATCTCTATGAGCGGATGTTCTTTGAATGAAGGCAGTGCAAATCCCACTAAGAACAAGCAGGCGTGTCAAAGTCTGGGCAAATAGTTCTCCTTTGTCATCTTCCATGATGATGATCCCAATCCATTTCCACTGGAAATAGGACAGAAGCTTGACAATCCCGTCATACTGATGTTCTCCCCTGGGAACCATCTGATATAAGGAGGTAAGTTGTGTTTTCTCACTCAGTGCTGGAGAAAATAAGGAATAGGTAACCTAAGCAAGAACAAAGGGATTTTCATCACTTTGATGTGCACATCTTTAGACTGGAACAGTGACATGCTTCCTTAATTCTAGGGGTATACATCTCCCTCCCTGATTTGGTTGAGATTCCAATCCAAGGCAGTATGTGCTTTACCCTTGCTGAAGTCATGTTTGGTAGCAAGAGTGGCTGATTCAAGATCACCCAGTGACTTTTCTGACTCATTCAAGACTAGAAATGTTGCTGCTCTCAGACTCTGGAATTCCCTCCCACTGGAGACAAGTCTGGCCCCATCTTTGCTACCCATCTGCAAGCAGACAAAGATCTTTCTGTTTAGGTAAGTTTTTCTTCAGGAACTGGCTGTCCAAGTGGAGATTAATTCAACGATTGTACCTTACTGTTTAGACTGTGTTTTTCCTTGTTGCTTTTCTTTACCATATTTTAGTAGGCATTTGTTTCCTCCTTTCTAGTATTTGTGTACTTACTGTTCTGAGGTTTAAATATTTACTTTTAATGATGCAAGCCACCTTGGGTCTTTCTTAAGAAGAAAGGCGGGATAGAAATATTTCAAGCAAGCAGCTAGAATGAATGAATGAATGAATGAATGAATGAATGAATGAATGAATGAATGAATGAATGAACTGGAATGTCTAGATCTTTAATTACTATACCACACTGACTCATGCCAGTTGGATTGTGGGATATAGGTTTAATCTTCAAATTTCTCTGCAAGCAAACACCACATATGCTAGATAGATTCATGAATGACTATGATGCCCCAATCTTCCATCTGTGAAAAATACATGGAAAAAATGTTGACATCTATTGTTTTATAATAAATAATTTCTTCTCATTTAAAGCCCAAAGAAAGTTGGTATAACATCAATTCTTCCCAGCCCTCCTTATTGTTCCCTCTTCATTCCTACCAAAGGTGCTAGGAATATGTGGTAAAAGGATTTACGATGCATCACAGAGATCTTATCTTCATAACTTTCTTACCTGTGGAATCTTGTAGAGGCCTAAGATGGTAGCCATGTGGAGGGAGATTTCAGAGTCAAGACCCCCGATGGCAGCTATCAGATTTTTCCGTACACCACAGCTATAGTTGGGAACAGTCTTCGTATGCCGAGAAATAAGGTTCAAAGTATTTTGATAAGTCATCCTTGCACTGAAGTAGCTGTCATAAATCTGGAAACCCAAGGTGATATTGGGTAAAATCTTGGGGTTCTTGTTTATTTCCTTCACAGCAAACACGAAAGACGAGACATGCTGATAGTTCTTTGGCACTGTGCTAAAGCAAGAGGCACATTACATTACGGATGTAATGGATTCCTTATGTTTCATAGACATTTACTTGTACTTAATAGAATATGCATTAAAACTGGGCTGTTGCATGTTCACCTGTTTTCGTTGTACTTTTATTGACCTGTGACTTTCTTAGCCATCCTAGAACACTATTTATGCAGAAGGTAGAGATTTTATCTAATATAATTGGTCAGCTGCTGGATTGCTCAGTGGTTTAGGCATCTGGTTGGTTCAATTCCCCACTGTACCTTTTTGACAGGGGCTGGACGTGATGATCCATAGGGTCCCTTCCAGCTCTGCAGTTCTATGATGATAATAATGATGATGTGGGTGAGTAAGTACTATGACCACAGCTATATCATTGGGAGAGCTTCAGTACCATAATGAAATATACAACCCTAAATAAATAAATAAATTCACTTCTATGGATCAGTGGATTTCCCTGAATATCCCTTTTCTTTGCTGTTTCATAACATCATTCTGGGTTCTGTACCTTATTTCTAGTATAAATAGACAATTTTCTAATTACTGATTAACTTTTGAAATTCAATTTGGAACTAATTTCTGGCAAACCGAAGATCCTTCACCTCATGTCTGTATACCAATCGCGTTCACCATACCCATTTTAGAGTAAGCAATAAAATCATTTTTTTGTTGTTAAAATGGGGTTGACAGGATCATAATCCTATCTGATATTGTCAAAAGTATCTGTGCTTCACTCTTTTCTTTGGTAGCCTTATATTGAGTCATGGTCCATGTTGGGCTCTTCAAGGTTTCAAAAATCTTCCCCAGTCCTATTTGGAAACACCTCAACTAAACCTGGCACATTCTACATGCAAAAAGAGAAATTGAATACAAACATATGGGCAAATTCAACACGATGGATCCCTTCCTCTCCACCGTGTACTATTCTGCCAGTTCATGTGCGTGGCAGGTCACATGATTAAAATGCATTCACTTTTTATGGCTAGAATTGGAAAACGAGAAAGAAAATGGAGGAAGACAAAGGAGAAAATGTTCTTGATCTTAGAAATGAACTGCTTTTATCTTTCCCTCTGCGAAGCCATTGATTAAACCATTACTTTTCATGTTTGGAGCACTGCAAAATTCAGATCCAGGGACTGGGTAGAGCAGGGATAGAGAGACAGGTTGAGAAGGTAGGAGGGCCCTGGACTAAAAAAATATCAGAAATGACACTGCCCATTGACCTTATGGAGTCCCACATGCACTCTCTTTCCATTGGCTGTCTTACGAAGCTAGATGAGACTTCTGATGTATAGAAAAAAAATATATCTAAACGTCTCCCATTGCTGGTGGTCTCTTGTTCCCTGGCTCCCTTCAGACTATGTCATTGCTCTCTGCGCTTCCCCATTATAGGAATGGGTCTTTTGGAGAAAACTGGAAACACAGAATATCGTCACAGATAGGAGCAAATTTCAGGTTTCAACCTCACACAAATAGTACAGGATATACTGGTTCTGGAGATGGGGATATATGGTGCTTTGTTGGGATTCGTCATTAGTCCGAATAAAAAATATATGGTACTTTGTTGGGATTCGTCATTAGTCAAAGTTGACGAATGGATAAAGTGATGAAGCATCACATTTTAGTGACGAATCAATAAATATTTATCAATTCATCATTAAAACACAACGTCCCACCGAACAGCTGATGGGCAGTACATTGACAAGCAGGCTGGCTGTGGGAAAGCAAACCCCATTTCCATTCCATGGCCCGCTTACACAAAGGGACGAATAAAATGGGTAAATATTGATCCAATTTGTCAGGGTCTTCAGATATCCCACAAATTATTGATATTTCACTAATATCTTGATTCATTTTAAAATTCAACCCCATGCCTAATTGGTTGTGATCTATGTGTTCTTGATTCAGGCATGGCATGGAATGTGAGACTTCCGTTTTTAACTCAAGGTTACAGTGGGAGAGGAAATACCCATAATTTCTCTAGCAGATTAATGAGGCAGAATATGTCAGATGAAGGAAGAGTATAGAAATGTAAGATGAATGGGGGAGGGTGATGGAAACACCCTGAACTTGGCAAATTTCAGGAAGAGACCATATATTCATTGGGTTGATATTCATATTTACTATCAAAGGCCTAAAGATGAATGTTTTTACATTTTACATTCTGTTTTTACATCCTGTTCATTGAACACCGAAGCCCTGATGATATTTGAAGGTGACAATAACTAGAAAGCAGGCAGAATAGGAAACCTATCCTTCCAGAATATGCAAAGTGATAAAAAACAGGGGAGGGAAAAAATGGAAGATGGCAGCCGCCCAGAGTAGACTTTGATCTAGATGGGTGGGATATAAATTTAGAGGATATTAAGAAATTTAGAAATATAAACACATAACAAGCACCAAACAAAATTCTTCCACTCACATCAGTAATAATTATCCATCCAATATTGTTATGTTTCAAATTCTGAAATTTAAACTTTTTTACATGTATTAACAACAACATCAACAATGCACACTAGGACATTTGCAGGAAAGAAGAACAATTCTAAATTTAATACAGATTACAGTTCAACTCCAATACTGCTTATTGGTTCCATTTCAAACATCTATGCTTTTCTTTTCTCAAAAAATAGTCACCTTATGAATGCCTTAATTATTCCTGGTACCTATTTATGGTGATTTTGGTAACAAGTACTGTACTTTGCTCAGAGGGAAGGGAAAAAAGAGTCCTTACACATATATATCTTCAGCCTGTGGGGTTTTGTTGAAGGGAATAGGAGCCATCGGAGGTGAAAAGAACTGAGAGCTTATCTCACCAATGCTGAAGTCTCCAGGCTGATAGTACTCATGATGGACATAAAGATGATCCTTCAACTTACAGAAAGCAGCATGCAATTTGCCCTCAATTTGAGGGAAAGCTAGCAGCATCGACACAATTAGTATCTTTGACATCTTCTTCCTCTGGACACCGACCGCCCTGTTTCAATCTCTATCATACTTATTTAGCATTGTTAACACTTGCTTCAAAATGAAACTGTGCATGAGAGCAGAAGGACCGCTATGAATAGCACTGGGGAGTTTTAAATAAACTTCCTGAAGCTTTCCTGTCGCATATGATCTCTGAAAAAGCCTTGTGGGAATGACCAAGGCTGATCCTGAATCAAAGTGTTTTCAGATAATTGGATAGTTCATAATCCCCAGGGCATTGCAATTTATGAACCCTTCATGCAACAGAGGAGTAGATGAAAACATGTTTATTCCAACTTGTCAAAGTTCTTCTTTGCTCTTTTGTGTGCTTTTTTAGGTTCAGCAAGATCTTGAGGCAGGAAAAGTAGTCAGATTTTGGGATAAAACTGGAGAGGTGACTATGACCCATAATGATAGAGAGGATGGTGATAAGCTTCAATGTAAATGTAGGTGACTTGGACATAAATTATGGAATGTGGTTCCATAAGATTTGATGGATGCCACTGTGTTAGGTAAAAGGTAAAGGTTTCTTTTGACATTTAGTCCAGTTGTGTCCGACTCTAGGGTGTGGTGCTCATCCCTGTTTCCAACCATAGAGTCAGCATTTTTCCGAAGACAGTTTCCATGGTCCATAGAGTCAGCATTTGTCTGAAGACATTTTCTGTGGTCACGTGGCCAGCGTGACTAGACACGGAATGCTGTGACCTTTGCACCAAGGTGGTACCTATTAATCTACTTGCTGCATCAAGGTGGTACCTATTAATCTACTTGCATTTTTACATGCTTTCGAATGGCTAGGTTGGCAGGAGCTGGGACAAGCGACGGGAGCTTGCTCCATCGCGTGGATTCGATCTTACGACTGCTGCTCTTCTGGCCTTGCAGCACAGAGGCTTCTGCGGTTCAACCCGCAGCGCCACCACGTCCCCTACTGTGTTAGATGGAGCTAAGGGAGGCTTATACAGATTCACAGAATCATAAAATTGTTGAGTCAGAAAGGTCTTAGGAGGCCGTCAAGTCCAACCCCCTGCTCGGTGAAGGAATCCAAATCAAAATAGATCTGACAGATGGTTGTCCAATTTTCTTATGAATGCATCTAGTGTTGGAGCACTCACCTCCTCTTGAGGTGTCATATTGTCATATTGCCATTGTCATATTGCTCTAACAGTTATGGAGTTTTTTCTGATATTCAGGCAAAATTTGACTTCTTGTAGATAGTGTGATGATTTGTGTTTTTATGTGTATTAGAATGGGATATGTAGTCCTAAGATTGTCCCAAT